TCACTGGCAGTGCTTCTGTGTGTTCAGGGTATGTGTGATGGGTCACTGGTGGGGTCTCAAGGGTATAGGTGTTGGGTCACTGGTTAGTACCTCAAGGGGTACTCGGTATGGTGTGGGGTCACTGGTGGTGTCTCAAGGTCTGGTACTGGGTATGGCTTTGGTTACTTGTGGTGCCTAAAGGTAGTATAGATCATATTCAAAATATAGAGACAGATATTATAACTAGAATGATGTAATAGATTTTGAAACAAATGTAAAATATGCCAGTTCTTTCAGTGAAAGTGATGTCTACCAATTCATATTATATATTGATTCAGTGACATAGTTAATATATATTAAAATTTGATACAGTAAACATATGCTGGATGGTAAATACAAAAAAAACAGGAGCTAATCCAAGAGCAGTTTAATAAATGGAGTTTTATTTTCTGATGGAGATGGTGTGCTTTTAGTAATATATTACCTAGTTATTATAAATGCCAGAATCTATTGGAAAATTGACATTGTAGAATGAATAGAGGGCAATACTAATGGTATGATGAGTGAAATTCACATTAATGATTACAGGTAGGAATTTTTGTTCTGCATTGCCATGGCAACAACATTCTCTTGCTGTTTGTATGTATTGTGGACATCTGTATCTGTAAATACTGTATGTACATATAACTGGGAACCCTGCACAAATTGGTTTAATGTTGTACCATGTTGCTGCATTTATTGTACGTCTCCATGTATAACAAAATGACTCAATAAATATAATTAATATTTTAATTTTCTGAATATCACAATTTTGAAAATTCTTGTTGTGTCCTGTTCGATATGGGTCCTATAGCGACATGTACATGTGTTAAATACATTGTTTGTTTACACAAAATTTAAAAACATGTTGGGTGACAGCCATCAAAAGGAAGACATTTTATACATTTATGTTTTGAAGCATTTTTTTCTATTACATTTGTATTGAACATCAGGTGTCTTTATGTCTATCTGATTTGGTGATTAATACAATAGACAAATGTTCTTGATTAAAATAGTGTAAATGCAATAATCGCTGGTTCTTAATTTCGCTATTTACAAGAAGTAAATTCGCTAAATTAAATCCACATCAACTTGTACTATGCTCAATATAAGTCATTGTTTACCTGTCAAGTTTATGTACTTAAAACCTAGTGAAATTAAATGCATATAAAAATAAATATCTTGCACCAAAGACGTAATTTACAATTCTGCATTCATTCCAAAACGTATAAGCATTGGTTAGAAGGTTCAAATGTTTCCTTTAATGTTGAGAGTTTACCAACACTGACACATTTGAAATTATTGACATCACATTCAAACGTTTTATTTATTTATTTCGCTAGTATTTATCAGTTTAAAGATGTATATTACCCACTCATACTACTTGTATCATTCTGAAACACATTACAGAAATAAATAAATTCATTTAACTGAACACAAACATTGACACATCAAATTTAGACTTTTATCTCTATTATCACTACAAGCAGGTCTAAGGCATAATAAGATTAGCTCAGTGATTGCATTCAAGCAGTACAGTAATGTATCAACCTTTATTCTGTATTGGTTGGTATGATTACAATACAATGTCCTGCCTTTGTGCATACTGTATATTCACATGATAACCTCGTAATATTTCCAAAAATATTAAACTTTTTGCCAGAAAGCCAATGCTTTGCTTCATAGTGTTCAAATTGAACACATCATGCCAGCTTTCAACAAATAGTTTTAGTGATAGTTTTAGCCCCACTGGAAAGGTTGAATGGGGTGTAAATTTGTAGCTGTCTTCTTATCTTTAACTTGCACATGGCAAACAGTGGGTTTTTTGTATGAACAACGCTCATTTGGGGTAAAAACAATGTTTTCACTGGTATTTGAAATTGTCCTGAAATTCTACTGACAAATAGCAGACAAATATTAGTTGTCAAGCTTCTTGTTTCTAAAGGCTAATTTTCAACTTTCAATTTATTTTAATGCGTCTCAATATTCACAATACTTCAGCATGCAGGAGTTCTTTCTAAATTTTCTTTGATGTCCCTTTGCCAACTATGTGCAATTTCATAAAGTTCTAAAAGTTTTGTATCACTTTGAGATACCACTTTGTATTTAAAAATAAAAAACATATTTATCTGTAATTTGACTGACTGACAAGTATTCTGCTATGTATTAAAAACAGTATTAAAAGCATTCTGTATTTTGGGGTACAAAACAAAAGAAATCCTGTTACTGACTCTAGAGGGAGTTTGTAGCTTCAAAGCAGTGAGGCATCCTTCACAGTTAAGGGTGATTCCACATGGTGATTTCTGATGCATTTAAGTGTGGAGTATATCCATCGCAAATCTCTGTAAACTTCATTGTGTTTTTCTACATTTTCTCTGTATTCTTGATTGTAGCATTAACATTCACTGTACTAGCTCGACTGTTACTAGGATATGTAAACATTGCCGAGCGTCTTGGACATACAGCATAATTCATTAATTTCTTGTGAAAATTGTACTAATTAAACAGTTCAAAACATTTATGAAATGTCCTGGAATTTAAAGGCCTAAGTGTTCTATTGTTCAGTGGTTGATTGTGGTGATGTGAAAAATGAGATTTTTCTTGTTTTACAACTTAGGAGTTAGGATGCAAAGTTACCAGGTTTCTTTTTGTAAGCTGAGATTTATTTATCACCCCTATAACTAAATTCAGTTTAAACTGAACATGTCTACTTACTACATACATGTATTACTGTCAGGATTGACCAAATATGATTGAATCTCATTACTGAAAACCCATAGACAATATATGTTAGTTCTTAGCAGAATTTGGAGCCAGTGCTTAAGAACAAAAATGTTATTTACTATAAATTTGTATTGACAGGTCTGCCTCTCCTAGCAATGGCTACACTATAATGAACAGGCTTAGCATGGATAATTTAACAGAACCAATTACCAAGGATTTAGAATTCCAGGTCAATGACCCTTTCCTTCTCTATAGAAATACTAAAGGTGCAAGTAAGTGTACAGTGATTACTGTTGTTATCTTGTGCATATAGACATAGCAGTCTAGTTATTACCATTGTAGTGATGTAGGTGACATAAACAATGCAATGCAAAGACCTCATGGCCCATTAAAGTATTAATTTTATTCTAATTTGTTTGTTTTCCTTGCAGCTATATATGGTATATGGTTCTATGATAAAGATGAGTGTGCTCGTATTGGTGCAGTTATGAACAGGTGAATCACAAAATAAAAACACATGAATAGAAAAGTGCCCAGCACCAGTCAATAATTGAAGTGTACATGTATATAGCATGTTGACTGTTAGACATGTGACCTTGTTGACAGATGCAACTGACACATGTAGATGACAATTTATGATGGAAAAGTATTGGCGTTTTTTTTGTTGATGAAAACATAATTCTATTAATAGATTGTAAATAGAGCTTTTATTGGTGCCATACATTATTACAATGGCACTGGTTGCCACATTGCACAACAATTTGATTCAGGTCTAATACCTTGTTCCTACCTCACACTGAATCGGCCCTGTTCCTACCTCACACTGAGTTGGCCCTGTTCCTACCTCACACTGAGTCGGCCCTGTTCCTACCTCACACTGAGTCGGCCCTGTTCCTACCTCACACTGAGTCGGCCCTGTTCCTACTTCACACTGAATCGGCCCTGTTCCTACCTTACACTGAGTCGGCCCTGTTCCTACCTCACACTGAGTCGGCCCTGTTCCTACCTTGCACTGAGTCGGCCCTGTTCCTACCTTGCACTGAGTCGGCCCTGTTCCTACCTCGCACTGAGTCGGCCCTGTAGCCTACCTCGCACTGAGTCGGCCCTGTTCCTACCTCACACTGAGTCGGCCCTGTTCCTACCTCACACTGAGTCGGCCCTGTTCCTACCTCACACTGAGTCGGCCCTGTTCCTACCTCACACTGAGTCGGCCCTGTTCCTACCTCACACTGAGTCGGCCCTGTTCCTACCTCACACTGAGTCGGCCCTGTTCCTACCTCGCACTGAATCAGCCCTGTTCCTACCTCGCACTGAATCAGCCCTGTTCCTACCTCGCACTGAATCAGCCCTGTTCCTACCTCGCACTGAATCAGCCCTGTTCCTACCTCACACTGAATCAGCCCTGTTCCTACCTCACACTGAATCAGCCCTGTTCCTACCTCGCACTGAATCAGCCCTGTTCCTACCTCCACTGAATCAGCCCTGTTCCTACCTCGCACTGAATCAGCTCTGTTCCTACATGTACCTCGCACTGAATCAGTCCTGTTCCTACCTCTCACTATACACATTATGCAGAATTGAATTTTTAAATGGGTATGCTCTGTATGCATTTATTGTACATGGTAAAAAAATTTCTACCATGTTTTTGTGTTTCAATCATTGACTTTCAAATCATCTATTTGTTCTCTCTTCATCATGTGATCTATTACAGAATGTCATGTGAATCGTCTCACAAGGACACAGATGTTGCATCAAACCCTAGTGTAGGTTCTACAAAGATTGTCCTCACAGGCAATAAAGCAAAGAGTCAGGTTGATATAATGCAAATGTTGACAAAGGCCCAAGATGAGTATGTGAAAGGAGGTGGTGATGGACAAAAACACTCATCAGAAGAGTGCAATCAGCAAGAGACAAAGAAAGAAACTGATATTATGCAGTTATTAAATAAAGCACATGTTGAGTATGCAAAGGTAATTTTAAGCTGCACTGAATGGAAAACACTGTAACAATAATATGTTGTGTGCCTAGGAGACTAATTCACTACAGGAGCCAATATAAACTGATTATGAAAACTGCTATTTCCCAGTCAATTTGTCTTGCATCATTGAAGTAATCCTAGTTTGTAATGCTTGTAGCAACTTCTCCTTCAACCATAAAACATAAAGAGTCGTACTAAATTCATGTTTGAAATTAAATTGTAGAAGAGTGATCAAATACTATGTTCAAATTTGTTGGATTAAGGTAGCAACTGAGGAAAATGGAGCAGGCCCGCTATTTTAACACTTTCCATCACATGAATAACCTGTGAATTTTGTTTGCAGTACTACCAAATAACTATAAACATGCAATCAACAACATTTTTAAAAAAGACAAAAGTGTTTCATGTTTATGACAAAGTAAATTATCTCGCCTCACCTTTGCTGGTGATGATGTTATTGATAAAAGTAGACAAATAGTGTGTATACAGACTCAATGGGAAACCAAAGCTACTGTATCCTGTGTGACTGAGTAACTGACCTAATGGGGGGAGGGGGTCTAAGCCACTGTACCCCAGGTCACCAACCTAATGGGAAGGTCAAAGCCACTAATTATGATTCTTACATTTACATTTTAGAAAGTAAACAGGATCTTGAGTTCAAATAGTAGTTATTAATTGCCATTTGAAAGTGAGATAGTCTTGACATTGTGTATGGGTAATACTTGGAATGGTAATAAACAAAAACACCCAAATATTGGATGGCTGTCTACTGCCTAAGAGGTTGATTTTTTGAGTGCTAGAGTCCTTAATAAAATAAATTTTGATTGAGACTTGTAACCAAATGAAATTAAGCAGAGTTAAATTATGTCCTTCAACAGTTG